TCATCTGTTAACATTATTTATTATTATTATTATTTTATAGAAGGCAATATTTCATTCAAAAATTTGCTTGACGGCTCTGAGACTACAAATGTAATCAGGTCATGCCCACTTTCGGTTATCTAGAGTCCGTGGAAAAACTACCCTGTCTACTCTCACGATACTCTCAACTGACGATAGTACGAGAGATACTCGGAGTTTGAGCTAGAGTTTAATATCTAGTTTGGAAATAAAAAAATTAAGTTAGAATTTGAGTTTATATGATGATTGGTGAGTTATTTATAATTAGTTACTTTAGAATTAAAAATTTAATCATATTATAATTATAATATAATATTAAATAAATACAATATAATATTAAATAAATAGCTACGTATAATTTTATATATGAAGCTCTAAATAAAAAATAAATTTATTATATAACGATATGTCATATTATAAACTTTTAATACTACATGGCATTATAAATATAGTAATTACACTAAAAATTATATTATATATTTATTACAATTTAAATATATAATAACTTATAAATTAGTAAGATTGAAAATGTAATTTAAATAAATTGCGTATTTTGCGTTTTTTAAAACTATTAATAAAAATATTTAAATGAAAATATGGTTTTTTCTTTTTTCTTTTTTTACTGTTGGGCTTAATATAATGCTGTTGATGAAGCTTTTGGTATTACAATATTTTTAAAAAGAAAAATAATGTGTGCACACCCGGATCCAACACTCGGGTGTGCACACATCATATAAAAAAAAATGCTCATTACCTGGTCCATTTTTTTTTATGTGGGGGGTGCACACCCGGGTGTTGGATCCGGGTGTGCACCAATCATTGTTCTTTTAAAAATTGTAGAGAAATTTATAATTAAATGATTGGTTATCAAAACAATTTGATACTACAAGAAAAAGGTTAGAATTCAAGCTCAAGTAATACTTGCTTGCCAAAGCTCAAACTTGCGAGTTTGAGCATAAACTTAACTACTTAAACTTAATAAATACTCAAACTTGATCCAAATTCAAAATTTTAAAACAAACTCGAATATGAATACTTAAATACTTCACTAAACTCATTAACAGTTTTACTAATTGAGGTACCTACGATGAGCTAGACAAGTCCTTAAACCTAAGGCTATCATCCCCACTTCCTCAAAACTTCGAAGCGTCATGTGCCAGACTAAAAAACTAATACTGAAGCAGAACCCTGGGCATCGCTATCTGAGAGAATTATTCACGTAATACCATTACTCGCGGGGTCTCCCCTCCCAGGGTCCTAACTCCACCATGTACGACGACGGCACCTCCAATCAATCTCTGCATGCGCCACAAGTTACAATAAAGATTATCCTTATTTATAAACCAATATACATTCTTTTATTGAAAAAAAAAAAAAAAAAAAAACATGTAACAAGGTGCACTCATGATGTACGCAAAGACTAATTAGCCTTTTCTTCTGAGGGCATGTTTGGTTTGCACCTCTTTTAGAAAAAAAAATTTCAAGAAAGCCAAGCTATTTAACTCAAGTTTGTAGGTTCAACTATTGAAATATATGTTAGGAAAATAAAAGTCCAAAGTAATCAATTATAATGCTTATAATCTATTACAATGCTAAGATATTATTGTTTTTTGTCCAAAAGCATGGGAAGAAAAATTTCTTAATTTTGTAATCAACTATAATATTGTTGTAATCAATTATATTCTAATATAATTGCTTTGAAGTAAATAACCAATTACTTCTATTATTTTTGTGCCAAAATTTTGACTTTCTAAAGTCAAGTTATATATATTTTTGGGTAGGCACTTAAGCCAAGTTAATATTAACAAAGGTTCAAAACTTCCCTCTAAAAACAATATGAGGAAGATTTACCTAGCAGGCCCTTATGATTTTTATACATCTCTTTTCAAAGATACATCCCCTATTAGATTGTCCTAAAGGATTATAGAAGGTAAGTCAATGATCCCAACTAGGACTACTTTCGATCTCTTAAAGGCTTGCTTATAAGCTAGAATAATAGATTTTTTTTTGGTTAAATTATATTCCTTTTAGTCTCTTTTATTTATTTTAATATCATAACTTTATGTAAATTAACTCCATGATTTTATATAGTAAATGAATGATAATTGAATGTTTTTTTTAGTTAAGTGAAAATATTTCACAAAAACTATATATAAAAAGCAAAAAAAATGTAATTATCATTTATTTACTATATAAAATTATCTAATTAAACTTTATGCAAAAGTTAAACTAAAATAATTAAATCAAATTAGAGAGAGTAAATATAAAGTAAATAAAAAAATGCTTTATAAAATAGATTATACATTAAAAGTATAGTTTGCTATATAATTTATTAAGATACCTTTAATTTCTTTTATTATTTTATTAAAAATATTTTAATAAAGTTATAAGATAAATTATACTTTTAATAAACAGTTCAAACTATATATTAACCATAAACCTCTAAAGAAAATTTGTGGAACTTCATTTTTTCTTTTTTAAATAAGTCTGTCACTTAGAAATCTGATAAGATCTAAAGCCCTTTAAGTTACCGACAGTGTCGAGATCATGATGCTAAAAAGTTTCAAAATATGAAGTACTTGAGATATTATCAACATTTGAAAATTTTCAGTTAAACAAAATACGAGAAGACACCAATGCTCCCATTGGGACCGAATAAAAATGAATTCTTCAAGTTAATTAAAACGGACAAACCTATTATTATGATTAATCAGAGGACAATGAAAATTTAGGATAAAATTTTAAGAACAATGATATAATTTATTTTATATAATTAAATTAGTTGATATATATAACAATATAAGTTTTAAAAAATAAAAAAATTAATTATTAAATAATATAAAATTTATTTTTTAGTATTTTAAATAACATGATTTATACTATATCATTAATTATAAGTTTTAATTTCATTTATTGTTATTCATCAATATCAGGACAATAAAAGATAAAACAAAGAGAATTGAAGAAATAAGGGAAAGAAGCGGCAAAAATATAAGTAAAAAATGTTTTCCTTTAAAATGTTTCTGATTTTTATGATGTCATTTTATCACTTTGAGAGATAACACTTGAATCTTTTTATTAAGAGGCCACATATGATATTATATATATTTCTTTATTTAATATCTTGTGATATTGTGCGTTATATTATACAAAAAAATATTGTGTGTATAGTGTCTCTATAAAAATAAAAAATAAAAATATCAACAGATAAACATTTGAAATTAATTAAGTTCATTAACTTCAAGAAATAACAATTTTTAAATAATTCTTAAAAAAAAAAAAAGATTTATGCAAACAACACATCCAGTTTTCTTCGGGTTAAATGTTAATTTTGGTCTTTCAACTTTAGTGGTTTACAGTTTTTTGATTCTTTAACTATTTTTTTGTACTTTTTTGATATCTCAACTTTAAAAAATACACAATTTTGATCCCTCCATTAGTTTCAGTCGTTAACTTCGTCCACGTGGCATTTTTTTTTTTTTTTATGATATGAAGAAGACAACTTAAAAAGATGCTGATATGGATAAAATATTATGCCATGTCATATTCCAACCAATCACCAACCAATCAAACGTGCCAAAACCCCTCAAATGGTCCCACATTATCTGCAAAGAACCAATAAGAAAGATAATGTCTGTGAACCCTAGAATTCTCTAGTTGAAATTGAACCCAGTAGAATTTGGGCTCTCTATCATCAAACCCAACTACTGGGTTTCATTGAAGCCACTTGCTGGATTCGTCAAACCTAGTAGATTTCATCAAATGAAATTAACCACTCCATAAACAATGTCAATCAAACTCTAATCAAATTCCAACAAAGATGCAATCAAATTCTAATTAAATTTCAATAAAAATGAATCAAATTCTAATCAAATTCCAACAAAAATGCAATCAAATTGTAAATCAACTCCTAAATTTATCAAGAACAGCTCTAAAGAAGAATGGAAATCAACCAAGCAGGCTACATTGAACCTAGTGAGGTCTCAACGAACCTAGCAAGGTTGGGTCTTGGCAAACCTAGTGCGGTGCAGATCTAGGTTTCTTCAAGACCGAGCTGTGTTGGGTTCGCCGTGACCCAACTCTGCTAGGTTCGGTGGTTTCAACAACCCAGGGAGAGGAAAGAAAGAAAGAAAGAGAAAGAAAGAAGGGGATGAAGATGGATTGAGAGGGTGAGGGTAATAGCATAATTTTGTTTGTTTTATATTTTTTTATTAAAATATAAATATTCATCTACGTAGATTTTTTATTTATTCATTTGATATAATTATAAGATATATTATTGTCATGTCATAAAAAAAATTAAAAGAAAATGCTATATGAAATTATTTAACTGCTACATCATACTTAACTAACAGAAAGATTAAAATTATGCAATTTTTAGAGTTGAAGGATCAAAAAAGTATAAAAAATAGTTGAGGGACCAAAAAAGTCTAAACTACTAAAGTTGAGGGACCAAAATTAACATTTGACCTTTTCTCCAGTAAGGTGGGTGCGAGGGATTGGCTTCTTTGAACCACGACTATGTGCCTTTCACAAAGTGCCTGCACAAGAGGGTGACTAGTTTTGCATAAAAAAAGAAAAAAAAGATACAAAAAAAAAAAAAAAACACGAAGGTGACTAGCCAAACAAAACCTCAATAGAAACTCCTAATATGGATTGATGATAAAAGTTTGGATTTTTATGCAAAACTCTAAAGGACAGTATGTGGTGGGGGTTCCAATAAGTTGATTGAGATGAGGGAGAGTCTAAAGAGTAAAGAGTAAAGACCCCAAGAGGGGAACATACATAATGGAATGTGGAACACAAGAAAAAAAAACTCCTCACTTTCTTTTCCACTCCCTTTGTACTTTTCCTTTTTCTTCTCTTAAAAAGTTGGAAAGCAAAACCACCCTGTTCCTTTCCTCGCCACTCATTTTTTAAATATTTTTTCTTTTGTATGTTTCTCATTTTTAATCACTTTCTTATTCTCCATTATTTTCTCACTACTTGTTTCAAGGCTCCAAGCCTAAAAAGGAAGGGAGACACACTTGGAAAAATCAATCCCTTCCCTTCATGGTTATCATCTCCTTTGCCATTTTCTCCCTCCCTAGTCCTTAGTTGACTACATTATCCATTCCTCTGTTTTTGCTTCCAATAATTCCCTCTTTGATTGTTTTCCATAAATAATAAGAATTCCCTCTTTGATTGCCCAATCTTTTTTTGGACATATGGCTTCTTGTCAGAAATTTCAGGGTTAGGAAGTCAAGCCAAGTCTCCTCCTTTACTTTTTAACTTCTGCAATTTGTCCTCAAACTTCTTCCACTATATCTTTCTTCTCCAATTCTTCAACTTTCCAAGTTTCCCACCTTTTTTTTGTTTCAGTGCTACTGGGCAGCCTTACAAGTAAATTAGGACCAAATTCTTGCTCAGCTTGTGTGCTTGCTTCTGGGATTTTCTCAGGTACCCATAATTTTCAGTACTTAACTCTTTTTCTTTTTTTTTTTGGCCTTTTCTTTATGTAATTCATTATATTTGGAATGACTGTTGAACTATTAGCACAAATTACAAAATTTTATGAGATGGGTGTATAAATTTTCTGTTCCTTTAGCTTTCCTCTGGCTTTGGTGGTAATCAAGTCATTGGTAAAGAGAGAAAGATCCAAATGTTCTTTCTTCCTCTTTATCAGTAGAAAAAAAGAAACGTGGAGGTAACAACTTTTGCTCCTCCTCTAAGTGCCTCTTTTGTATTGGGAAAAGTTGCTTTCCAGATGAAATTAAAATAAGGCAATTGCTAACCTGAGTATTTTTAGTATGATAGAGTAATTTATTCGCAAAATTGGCTGTTATTCTATCTATTATTTTTAAAATAGTCCATTGTTGTTTTGTAACTAGGTGTGACTAAAATCTCCGACTATAGCATATTGTTTTGGAACAAAACACTCGATTATTGTTACTGAATATAATGGGTTATTTTTCACCATTTACCAACGAATCTAATAAGCCATGTTCGTTTTTTAAGGAAATGGTTGTGGGAGGAAGGCGAGCCTCTCTAAACCACCACCACCACCAAACACCGGAAATCATTTACGGACAAGAGTCTCTTGTAGCCTGTTTGGTTTGAGAGAAATAAAGAGGAGAGGAGATGTCTCCTTTCAATTCAATTCAGTGCTTTGACTAACGAAATTTGATTGCTTATAGTTATAAT